ACGTCGCGGCAGCTGCAGAGGAAGTGACGCCCAGCAGAGGAAGTCACGCCCAGCCTCCATTACCGGCGCCGCCTTCATCTCGACCAGCACCTCCATCCCTGACCTTCTTAGTGAAGGTGAATTTTTAGAACCTCCATAATAGATTACTTTTGTTTCTATTTAGTTGAAGTATCTCAAAATTAGAGTACTAATATACTTAGTTTTATTGATTGTTAGTTTGATTGATTGTTAGTTAGTAAGTGAATGGTTTAGGGTTTTTGATTGTTAGTTTGAATTAGGTATTATTTGATTGTTAGTTTGTGTTTGTTGATTGTGAATTGAAAATTTTAATGTTAGGGTTAGTTTGAATTAGGGTATCTTAGGATTTGTTTGAAATTCGGTATTTCTTAAGTTAATTAGTTTGATTTTGGAATTGTAAGATTAGATTGAATTAGGGTATTTAAGGAGTTGTTTGAACTTGGGTATTATTTGAGTTAGTTTGAATTATTATTGAGATTTTAGGAATACTAATAGTTTGAATTTGGGATTTTAGCACTATAGTTTGATTTTTGAATTCTAGGAGTACTTTCAATTTGTGATTTTAAGACTAATTTGAATTTGGAATTTAGGACTAATAGTTTGAATTATATTTGATATTTTAGGATTAATTAATAGTTTGAAGTTTGGACACTAGCTAGCTAGTTTGAATTTAGAATTTTAGGGATTTGAATTACAACTTAATTAGAACTTATAATTAATTATAACTTGAATTTACTATAAATTGAACTTAATTAGGAATATGAACTTGAAATTAGAACTTGAACTTGGAACTAATTAGCTTGAATATATAACTAATTAAGTTTAGAAATTAGATATGAACTTGAATTGAAACTTGAACTTATTAAAACTTGAATATATACATAAAACTAATATTCTTGGATATGAAGTTTATATTTAACTAATTTAAGAACTTTTCGTGCCAGGCAATTGAGGAAGCTCAACATCTAAAAAAGTTGATACAAGACTATATTGCTTCTTTCATCAAAGTTGGAGATAAGTTTGGTGCTTCTAAATTTCTTAAGTTAAATTTCTTAAGTTAATTGATATAGATGGTAGATAAAGACAAGGGTAAATTAAAAAATCCGCTAATCCAAAAAAGAAATTTAAGGCCAATGCTATGAGAAGCACTACTGGGGTCGTGATATCTGATGAGCCCTCTCAAGTTAATATTTCAAAAAGAGCCTCAGTTTCAACTACTTACTTGGCACACCAGTCACATAATGCCTCTATTCATGTGGCTCCACAATCTGGTTATACTATATCTACACCCACTGTGGTACCTAGTCCGGGTTACCAAACATTGCAGGGCTATTCAGCTCTTGGTCATGGGTCTACCATACCATCAGCTAGTACTAGTCAGTGCAATAGTTTGAATACCAGTAGTGGATCAATTGGACTTTCCAATCTTCATCTTGAATCCAATGGCTCAGAGCCTAATACTCCCACCACCCAGCACTCAGATGCACATGGTCCTCAGCCAGGCGATAGAGACAATTTTCGGAGACTCGTCATCGAGCCATTAGGATACAAGTATGATTTAATTATGTTTCATCTTTCATTTATCTATTTATATTTTAATTGATTGATTATTTTTTGTTTACTCTACTTCGTCAATGAACTCGTATTTCAGCTTACATCCGAATGTGGGTATGGCAAAGATTGTTTTAAAGTGCATCGAAACTCATTATAATGGTATGTATCCGAATTGGAGTTCGATTCCACTTAACACCCAAGGGCAGATGTTCAACGAATTTAAGGTAAGAATATATATAAATTAAATTCACATCATATACATTTAAATTTTCTAGTCATTTGAACAATAAATATTTAATTATTTTTTATTACAGAAATATTATGTATGGGCTCCCGAACACGAGGATGACGTTCAAGTGAACTTCAAGCTTAAAGCTTCAAAGTTGCTTTCTAGCACATTTTGTGACTGTCGAAGAGAAAACAGAATTCCTAAATTTATGTTACCGGATCTATGGGCTCTGTTACTGAAACATTGGAGTACTGATGAAAAATTTAAAAAGAGGAGTGAGATTGGGAAGATGGCTCGCGCATCAGAAAAGGGAGGCTCTTTACACACTGGTGGAGCTATTAGTCAAGTTACTATGAAGGAAAGAATGGTATACTTTCTTAATTTAGTAAAATAATTTTTTTTCTTTTTTGGTAGGTACTTTTTGGAGATTAATGAGATCAAAATTCTATATATGTTATTTGCAGGAAAAAGAGTTGGGTAGGCCGGTAGTTGTACCAGAGATGTTCAAGGTTACTCACGTCAAGAAGAGTAAGAACCCCATATAAGAAGAAAGATGGATTGAGCCACGTGCTCAAGAGACATATGTAAGAAATCCATTCAAACTAAAATAAATTTTCTTTTCCTTGTATATATTACATTCTTATTCGTAGAGTTCTTTGTTTAAATTACAGGATAGGTATATACGAATATCTCAGGAATATCGTAGTACTCTACCTCTTGAGAGTCAGGACAGACCATTTACACAAGAAGAAAATGAGAATCTTTGGAAACAGAGTGCTGGTGAACCCATTAGAGGTTCAGTCTACGGCTATCCAGAAAACGCGTATCAGAAGAAGAAGTCTTGGTATTGTGGTTCATCATCCTCGAGCTTTGATGGCGGGGATAGAGAGACAATATCTGCAATGGAGAGTAAGATAGCTTATCTCAATGTCGAGCTTGCTGCTGTAGCTGAAAGAGAGAAGAAGAGAGAAGGAAGAGAGAAGAAGAGAGAGGAGGAGATTGCGGCAGCAAAGGAGGTAGAGAACAAGGGGTATACAACGCTTCAGGCCCAACTAACTTTTCTTTTTGAATCAGGAAATATTCTTCCTCCATGTCCGGCCAGCAGTGATAGATCTGATCAGGAGGGTGATGAGAATGATAAGTCTGATAAGGAAAGTGAGGGTGATGAGAATGGTAAGTCTAATAAGGAGAATGAGGGTGATGAGGAGTAGTTGTATCTATTTGACATTTTAGACTTCTATATTTTTGGAATTGTTTAATTTGATCGTATTTTAGTTTATTTTGAAGTTGGATGAAGTTTATTTTGAAATAGTTTAATGTATATGTTGAAAATATTGTGTTCTTTTAGTTGGATGAAGTTTATTTGGCTTTGGGCTGTTTTGGTGGGATGAAGTTTATTTAGCTTTGGGTTGTTTTGGTTGGATGAATTTTATTTGGTTGGATGAAGTTTATTTGGCTTTGGGTTGTTTTGGTATAAATATGCAAGTGGACAACTAAAAATTGCAGCAATTTGTTGCCTGTTTTGTAGCAGAAAACCGACCTCCGAAGGTCAGAATTTCAAAAATAAAAAATAAAAATACCGACCTTCGGAGGTCAGAATTCCAAAACTAAAAAAGAAAAATATCGACCTTCGGAGGTCAGAATTTTAAAAATACAAAAATAAAAATACCAACCTCCGGAGGTCGGAATTTCAACATTACAAAAATAAAAATACCGACCTCCGGAGGTCGGAATTTCAACATTACAAAAATAAAAATACCGACCTCCGGAGGTCGGAATTTCAACATTACAAAAATAAAAATGCCGACCTCCGGAGATCAGAATTTCAACATTACAAAAATAAAAATACCGACCTCCGGAGGTCGGAATTTCAACATTACAAAAATAAAAATACCGACCTCCGGAGGTCGGAATTTCAACATTACAAAAATAAAAATACCGACCTCCGGAGGTCGGAATTTCAACATTACAAAAAATAAAAATACCGACCTCCGGAGGTCGGAATTTCAACATTACAAAAAATAAAAATACCGACCTCCGGAGGTCGGAATTTCAACATTACAAAAAATAAAAATACCGACCTCCGGAGGTCGGAATTTCAACATTACAAAAAATAAAAATACCGACCTCCGGAGGTCGGAATTTCAAAAATACAAAAATAAAAATATCGACCTCCAGAGGTTAGAATCTCAAAATGCAAATATAAAAATACCGACTTCCAGAGGTTGGAATTTAAAAAAATGAATATTCCGACATAAAATAAAAACTGACCTCGAGAGGTCAGTAAATACCGACTTCCAGAGGTCGGTATTGAATAGCGACCAAGCTTTTTCCGACCTAAGCTGGGATGTCGGTTTTAGGTCGATATTTCAAGGAATACCGACCTCCGGAGGTCGGTATTTGTAGGTCAGTATTCACTATTTTTTTAGTAGTGGTAGTACATCACTATTATTTATTACTAGTGTTATGCTATGTTGACTTGTTCTGTTGGGATCAATTTCATGTATTTTAATCTTTATTAGATTGTTCTTTATACGTTAAAATTGGCCAATGAAAAAATCTATCATTCGGTTTTAGAGGCCTCCACATTTTAAAAGACGGAAATTTATTTTAAGTTTATATATGTTGTATGTTAGAATTGGCCGATTAAGAAATTACCGTTAATTTTCAAGGCCTCCCATGTTAATAAGATGAATTTTTATTTTTAAGTTATTATTTGATTTATTTATTTTTATTCATAATTATTTCTTACTAACACTTTTACTAAATTTCTTTATGTCACAACCCAGACCGTCGTGATTGACACCCACACTAACCCTTCGGTGGGAGAACCATTAATACTAATTTGCTAACCAAAGAACTACACAACTAAATTAAGACTAAGGCATTTAAAGTTACGGAAGCATGTTTAATTGCTAAGGAAAAAAAATATGGAGTTCCAATAAACTCCAAACAAAGTCTAACAACCAAAACAAATGTGGAATAACACCTAGAACCTGAAAGTCAATGTACCAAAACTCTAACAAGAACCATAAGTCTAAACAAGAAGGGGTACAACCCAATACTAAACATAAGAAATCTAAAGAACTAGTCTAAGCCTGAAAATATGGACATAAACAGAAAGAGAACTCATGGCAGCCCGGAAGAACTGGCTCACCTTTGAATTCGAAATGATCACTGATCTTCTAAACGAGGTCTGTCAATAGCCACCTGAAGATGCCCTGTACTCAACAAAGAAAGAGCAAGTGTTGTATCAGTACACAACTACAGTGTACTGGTAGGATCACGCGGCTATCCCACTAAGTACAATATAAGTAAGTAGTTACAACATCATAACATGCATAAACCGAACATATACAATATCAATATCATTTATGATCAACGTACACTTTTACAATTCTCAAAATATACAGTTATGTCAAGTCAATGGTCCTCTCATGGAACCCATACCCAAATAGTTAGCGTACCGGTACGTGGTACCCGATCCAATGTTTATGTCAAAAAGTGGCAACCGATCCTAGGTTTATGCCGGAATATGGCAACCGATCTAAGTTAGTGTGTCGGAACACAACACCCGATCCATTCAACAAACCACAATCACAATCACAAAGTACATTCTCATAATGATACTTTCCTAGCATTCATCATTCATCTATCCTCATTTACAACTAGTGTGATCAATAATGCAACATTCGCATACATACGTGTATTATAATGAAGCAAGAACAAAAATACATCACACAACATGAAATCACAACCATCACCTACCTCGAAACAAGCTTGAAACCCTAAGAAACTTGATTCTTCCCTTTACGGATTCGTTTTGCTTGTTCTTGGTCTACAAACAATCAATATAATGCTAAGATCAATAAACAAGACTAAATTTCCCGGAATGTAATCAATTCTATCAACCCTAGATCAAACTCATGATCCCAATACCCAAATTAGTGCTTTTCCCACCATCCAAATAGTTTCAAAACCCTTCCCCAACGATAATCACCTAAGAAACTAAGTTTTAAGGATCGAAAAACGGATTCAGGGAGTTAAAATTTTCTATACCTTGCCAGGGTATAGAACTTTTCAACTAAGTGGATCCACTAAGCTATGCTTAAAAAGAAATAAGGAATCATCTAAAAAGTATGACCCTTTCTACCTACGTTGGCTACATGGTTTATGAGGACTTTGAGTTATCTGAACTTATCCACATATCGGTGCTCAATACTACTCCCAAAATACAACTTAGCTCATATGTTTAAAAACATTTGAGATTATTACTCAAAATATTTCTCTTAAAAGAGATAGTACTCAAAACTCCTCATGAACTCCTTTGGAAATCGGTGTTTGTAAAGAGGCGATCAATAGTGAGATGGATTCAATCTAATCTACGGACTCATCCTTTTGGAAAGAGGTGGTCAATAGTGAAATAGATTCAATCTTAAGCAACCATACTTTGATGTGGTTGATCTACCTCATGAAAACAAATATTTGGGTTCAAAATAGATTTTCAAAAGGAAAATAAAAGTTAATGGAACAATTGACAAATACAAAGCGAAGCTTGTCGTCAAAGGCTTTAGACAAATCTATTTGGATTCTAATTACACTAGCTGCAATATATGACCTTAAAATCCATCAATTGGATGTAAAAATAACTCTCGTAAATAGAGAATTGGAGAAAGAAAATTACATGAAACAACCTGAGGAATTCGTGGTTCCTGGTAAAGAAAAAAGTGTGCAAACAAATTAAGTAACTTTATGGACTAAAACAAGCACCCAAATAATGACATGCAAAGTTTGATAAAATGATGTTGGCAAATGAATTTAAGATAAATGAATGTGATAAATGTATTTACATTAAAGACACTCCAAACTGAGTGGTCATTGTATGCCTATATGTGGATGATATGATGAGAATGAGTAACGATATTGCTAATATAAATACTATTAAGCATATGCTTGCTAGTAAGTTCGATATGATAGATTTAGGAGTTGCTCATTTGATATTGGGAATTAAGATTCATAAAATCCCTCACGGTCTGACATTGTCTCAATCTCATTATATTTGAAAGGTATTTGGAAAATTCAAGTACTTAAACTTCAAAAGTACAAAAACATCAATTCATGTGAACATAAATCTCACTAAGAACAAAGGTGAATGTCAGTCTCAATTGAATTATGCCAGAGTGTTGGAAAGCTTGATGTACCTCATGAATTGTACATGACCAGACATAGCTTGCGCTGTAATTAAACTACACCGATAAATAGGTAATTCCAACCAAAATCATGGGATGACAATGAAATGAGTTTTAGGGTACTTAGATGACACTCAAAACTTTGCATTGCATTATAGAAAGTATCTAAAAGTTGTTAAAGGATATAATGATGTAGATTGGATTACTGGGTCAACTATAAAACTAAGTACACGAGTGGATATATGAACACATTATGAGAGATGTTGAAGGGGGCTGGTTGCTCATTTTTCGATTGGTGGAGGATCAATATCTTGGAAATCATCCAATAAAACATGTATAACTTCCTCTACAATGGAGTCTGATTTCATAGACTTAGACACGGCCGACGAACAACCTAAATGGCTCAACAAATTCTTAGAAAATATTTCATTTTGGACCAAATTAATAGCCGTTATATGCATACATTGTGATAGTCAAGCTGCAATAGTAAGGGATGGGAGCGTTATGTATAATGGTAAGTCTTGTCACATATGACGAAGACACAAATTTGTTAGATAACTACTCTTAGTGAAATTATTACAATTGACTATGTAAAGTC